TTTAATTTTGTTTGAGAGAGGATTGTGCTATTCCTCTTATAACAAGAAAAAATGACTACTCGTACGTGTCGTAATTTGATAACAGCATGGACATGTTTCATCAGGTGTGTGATATTGCTACTCTCGTTGTTCAGAATCAAACAACTTTGATGCAAACCTGGAATCATTGGGTTGATTAGGATACTACTAAACACCATATAGAATATCCATTTGTAACTCGTGAGAGTATAGATGTGCTGCAAGATCTGCATTGTAGGGTGGTGTAAACACATCACTGACCTTAACATGAGGAATTGGGCTTGTACGACGTCTGGAGCAGCGTGGAATGTGTGCGTGGTGTCAATTAATTCGACCTTCCCTGATACTGCAGCATAAATACATGAGGCGTTAGTGGTATTTCCGACGACAAAATTGGATACATTGGTTGAAACAAAACATCTTTTTATAAAAGCCTTGGCTTAGGTCTGCATGCTGCCTGTTGATGACTGTATTCGTGTCAGAAATGAAAATGGTACTGGCTTTCTATATCGTCATAATGCTCTGAAGATAATGTGAGAGTATGAATATGCATTGGGTTTATGAATATAACAACCTCCTGTATTCAGTAATTTTAAATAACTCGTGTTACATTTTTCAGATCTTAAGGTCAATGGTTGTTCGAGTAGCTTAGAGACGACATCTTTCAACAAAATTATTCAATATTCCACACACACACCAGCTGCCATCCTTCCTAGCACATTCTTGAGATCTTCAGTCATGGGAGTTGCAAACACGTAATCACGGATGCTGAGAGACTCGATCACTAACTCTCTCCAGACAATATGATTGACAAATTCTGACACAGAAATAATCTGCAGTAAAATAACGTGCCCATGTGGGGCATCGATGCCCAGTTAAATTTGACACTTAATTCAATTGTAGCTATTTTTGAGATTTGAATGTAGTAGATGTGTACATTAATTTTGGGCCCTTTATATTCCCAAAATACAAACAAATGTAATCGTAGTTTTCCATATGTTACATACTTACGATACGTAAACTTTGGTTATGGGGGAAGTATATCTGTTTGCTTATGTAGGGAAGTGGGCCATTTTTTATCTTGGCATCAGAAAGGATTCATAATTTGGATAATAATACAATCATTTATTCACAATGATTCAAAAGTATAAATTATTTTAGAGAAAATGTATTACGTAGGACATTCACAATTTGTTACAGTCACAACCAGATATCAAGCGAGTGAAATGTAGGACGAAGGATTAATTTTCCTCTGAAGCCAAATGTTTTCAGATTAGTCCTTGCCAGCTCACAAACATATTACTTTAATGTTTCTGAGAACTAAAGTTGAAGTTAAATGACTAATCTTGCTTTAATATGTGGTTTATTAAAATATATGTATAAAGACAGTGTAGTATCTTGAAGAGTTATTATCAATATGAAGTAAAGAAGTAAATTAAGTGGAAAGTTGTATATATATATATATATATATATATATATATATATATATATGAAAGAAATTTGTGTAATATATCCAAAACCAGAAATAATAGATAATGAACATAACAAGAAATAACGTAATAAAAATATAAAAGCAAAACATGAAAATCGAATTTATAGAAAAATACAAAAAAAGAACTATAAAAAAGAACCTAGCGAGTCAGAAAGCAATTTGGGACTTAGGACCGAATAAGTGGGGCTAAACTAGTTTGAAGGCGCCAACATTCCCCCTTTGCAACTCGGTTGGGAAAACTAAATAAAATAAACAAAATTTCAATGTATATAAAAAAAATAAACAAAAATTCGAAGTATATAAAAAAATAAACAAAAATTCGAAGTACATAAAAATTCGCAGAAAGTATGATAAAACCACTGACTACTATTCTGCAACAAATACTCCCCAAATTCTTAAAGCAAAAAATTCCCAAAACAATTACGCAAAAAAAAAGTATTTTTTTTTAAAAAAAAAAAGGAATTTAACGAAATTTTCCTGCTTACAGATCTTTATCCAAGAGAATCAAGAGACTTGAAATTAATGAAAAGCAATTATCTACCAAGTTAAAAAACCTGAATGTACATAAAAGCATATTTTGAACTACCTTTTACACTAGCCAGCATAGATAGATACCAAGAAAGATGACAATAAAGTTTGGTAGGCTTTGAATTGCTTGATTGTCAAAAATGTAAATTTGCTAGGCTCTAATTGAGTTGGTTGTCAAAAATGTGTAAGATGTTCAAGATGTGTATGGAAAAGATGTAAACTGTGATATGAGTGTTATGATATAATCTTCACAGCAAGACCACTAACATGCTGACTTTGAAATCCTATTGTTGTGTGATGGATTTGGAATTATAAGTATCAAGACGATTAATATATTTGCATGTATATATATATATATATATACATGCGTGTATGTTACATATACGCTGTTGTTAGTTATCCCGCCTGTCCAGCAGTAACATGAGATCAAGGACTTCGAAATTCATAGCAGCTGAGTGCTGGATTTTTACTCCTGCCATTAGCCTTAGCTTTGAGCACAATATAGGTGACAGTACAATTTTGCTCGGTTCCACTCTTATTTTGAGGGAGAACCCCTTTGGAGTTCTCAGAGGCATCCCACCTTTCTTCCTCTTCCGCAAACCTCGCGAGAGGACTTGCGGCTCTAAAGATATTTAGAGTATCTGCTTGCCACGAAGGCACTATATATTTACAAACATCCATGCTTTTTTCAAGGATTCAAATCCAGGCCCTACGGCATTGCAGTCAGCGTCACTAAGCATTATACCGGAAGAGTGGCATATTTACAACTATGCATGTATGTGTGTATACATATATTTTCTTTATATTTAATGTATATATATATTTCATCTTTGTATCCGTTTCACAGTGCATGCCGGAAAATTTCGATCGTCTTTTTTTTGTTTCATATATATATGCATATGTATGAATATTTGTACATTTATCTACCTATCTTCATCTGTATGTACTTATATACATATATCATTATAATATATATATATAGATTTGTTTCAATAATTTAAATTAATTTAGTTGTATGTTTATAGTACAGTAATTTAATTATGCGTTACTTACGAAAATGATGGAAATATGATAAAAAAAAACACGTTTATTACATATTATGTGTTAAATTAATACATCAATTTTATTACAAATAGGGAGGGAAACATAGCTTTTCCTTTATATTAATATGCATAAATAAATAAATTTAAAACACATTTAGGTACATACTGCTTTCTCAACATTTTTATTTTGAATACACTGATAGCTTCAGAGCTACCATAGTAAAAAAAAAAATTGTCTGTGATATTGCCTTGTAGAAATTTCTTCTCGATTTCTGTTCAGCATTAGAAAATAACTTTCCGGAAAACCGGGCTTACGAACCCGATTTTCATAATTCCACAAACAATACATCACTGAGTCTTCTTCTTTAAAACAAAATCGAGTCTTTGAGCCTGCATCCGTTTACTAAAGAAGTTCGGATAAGGGAAAGATGAAAGATATGGAAAGAGCCAAGGAAAAAGTCGAAAAAAAAGAAAGAAAAAAGGAGAAAGAAATCATTCACTTTTTTTTCTGTTCTATCCTTTCGTTATGTATTTCATCGAGTTCTTTTCTCCAGCCCTTCTCGTTCCCAGGCACTTGTCCAGTGCCCCGGATGTTATCCTCTGTCATGGAGGGCATTTTTTGTGCCTTAGGAAACACCCCTTGGATCGATACAATTTCGATCCGATATCCTTTGTTTGTTTTTTGTATGCTCTTTTCTTTTTGCCTTAGGGCGGCGGAGATGATAAGCTATTCAAATATAGAGACTGGAATCAATCGTAAAATGTGGTGCGATCATCATTCGATATTTAACGACTTGGGACGATGCGGATCCTTTGTTGGATGATCTATTGACAGATTTCGTGTGACCTTCATTACCTCAGCAGAAGAAAGAAGCTGTGTATGCATGATTAATGAGTGAAAATTGCCAGCAATTAAGGCAGTCTGAAGCATATTGAACTATCTTGGAGTACGTTAAGAATACTCACTGAATATACAGTCAGCTGTAATGTTAAGGCATATTAAAATTGTTTAAAAATAGCTCTTTTCTTTAATCAGATGTTTCATGTTTCCTATTTGAATTTTTCGGTAACAAATTGCAATCAAATGATAAAGAATTTACACAGAAGGATAATTGTTTAAGGATAATTGCAGACATATGCATATATGCTTATACACTATAACCAAATTTGTTTTTCTTATATTTCTGTTGTTTTACTTCAGTACTTATAATTCTTTAGATACAATATTGCAAAAAAATATAATAATAATTAAATAAGAGTCAAAAGAAAAATATAGATTGCGTAAGAAAATATATCAATTCCCAATCATTATTTCTGACAAGGCAAAGTTTGCGTTCTTTAACCTTAACATAGTCTCGTCCCTCCCTTTTCCTTAAATTTTCTTTTATAAAATGTGTTATAAGAATTTAATGAAAAATAATTGCAGTTTTATTTGCTCATATCTGTAATTTATAATATGGCGTACACTGATATGTGCACTTATGTACTTAATGGTTGTATTTTTTTTAAAAAAAAAACAACTAATAAGTATACTCACTTTTTTGAAGTTATACTTCTTTTGGGGCGTTAGAGAAATAGGATGAGGGTAAATTTTTTCAATGCGCGTGCACCCCATCACTGATGCGAAAATTCTTTGTCTAGAAATATACAGAACGGGACACAAATCATTCCCACCTTCGAAATTCAAAGAAAAATATTTCGCTTCACTTCCCTGAAGAATGGGACACCCGGGTATGAACCGGAGACCTCTCGATCTGCAGCCCAGTGCTCTTCAAATGAGCTATTCACTCGCATCAGAGAACCTTTGCTTTGCGTTTCTTAGGAACGGATACGAAAATGCTTTTTGTCTAGAAATATACAGAATGGGACAGATCACACATTCCCGCCTTCAAAATACTCAAAAGAAAAATTCTCTTTTCTGAAAAGAAAACTCCCGGGTTTGAACCGGGAACCATTCGACCTGCAGTAGAATGCTCTACCACAGAGCTATCCCTTCGCGTCAGCGAACCTTTGCTATGTGTTCTGTAGGAGCGGATACGAAAATGCTTTGACTAGAAATACGCAAAATGGGACAGATTATTCCCGCCTTCGAATTTCTCAAAAAAATATTACTCTTCACTTCCCTGAAGAAGGGAGCATCCGGGTTTGAACAGAGGACCTCTTGATCATCAGTCGAATGCTCTACCCTAGAGACTGGAAATCTAGAGACTGGATATTTTACAAGCATGTTTTTTCCAGATGTATAGATCCGTTAAGGAAGGATTTAGCCAAAATTTGACCCTCAAGGTTTTGCAAGAGAATAAATGCCATTATAGATAAATATTCACGTTTTTTTTTTTTTTTTTTAATTATTAGACCTGCAGATTTGAAATTTGGATTTTATATTCCTTTCAAAGAATAGATAACCACTACAAAAGATGCTTTTACGGAAATTCATAACTAAGGGGTTTGCGAAGGGTAAAAAAAGTGTTATAGATAAAAGATAAACCCTTTTTCGCACTTCTAAGACTAGACTTAAAATTTAGCTTTCATGGTTTTTTTCATAGAGCAGAAAAATACGCTTAGAAAAGGTTTTCACAAAACTGATATCCAAGAGGAGTTGCGAGAGCATTTTATATATATATATAAAAATCCCTTTTATAAATAACTATACTTATATATAGACATTAAATTTAGCTGGCATGCTTCTATCATGAAGTAGAGTTGCCCTAACAAAGGATTTTGCGAAAATTGGTATCCAAAGAGGGGGGTGGGGATGCGAGGGCTTTTTATAGAGAAACATTCCTTTCATGAATAGCTAAACCTATAAACTCGAAATTTAGAATCCATAAATCTTTTTCTGAACAAAGATTAGATACGATGGAGGTCTTCAAATGTCTGTCCACGTGGGTGTTACGAGGCGTTATAGATAAACAAAAAATCCTTTTTTTTTAACCATTAGACCTACAGATTTCAAATTTGGCGAATGAGAATTTTTGTTGAGCGGATATATGCTAATAAAGTTTTTTTTTTTTTTAAAAAAATTTAATTTGCAATTCAATGAAATTTAAACAAAAAATATTTAGTTTTCTCACAATCTCTATTATTTTATTTTTCAATACATCGGTACTGGTATATATATACGTATCATTTTACCAGTTTATTTCTCTTAGTCCTTATTTTAGCGTTACCCAATGTTACTTTATCCGGGAAATAATTTTTGATTAAAAGAAAGAACATTACAAATTATATAATCAATAATTTTACAGCGTGGTTCAAAATTTAACGAAATAAAGCATATATTTCACCCACCCATCTTCATTTAATAAATAATGGATATATAAAAAAAGTCTGCTGCACCAGTGTACCGATATCAAATATACTTGGAGACAATAATCATATATTTGTCATGAGTATTTCCCTTATTATTTTTCAAATATAAGTAAACGTTGTTAGAAATAAACATTTTTACTATGTAGAATAAAAGTTATCAGAATGAATTCTTTACTTTTTGAATTTAGCTATAGTTTCCAACTGAAACATTCATTACATCTTTCATCAGTAAACTCAATATGTTTGGTATAGAAAATGAATTATTGACAGTAATGTATTATTTATTATCTCTGTAAGCCTAACTTCTGTAACAGTTTCATCATATAAGTTTCATTACAAGTAAAAATGTAGTGTCTAGACAAGTAATTTCACAAAATAATATTAACAACTTTCTGCACAATTCCTCAAAACCAAGTTCTCAGCAAAAAGTGAATGATTTTTTTTTGTATCATCTAAATAATCTAACGATGAAAGAAACTAATAATTTAGGAGTTAAGTTGCAGATTTTTGAATTGAATAATTCCAAAATGTCCATGTGCACAAACATGTTAACCAGAAAATTTTTACAAAATTAAAATCACTTTGAAGTCATAATGCACATTGATGAGACTGGGTTCAATAAATTTGTGCGGCCGCGGTAGCCGAGTGGTATAGGTATCGTACTGTGGCTTGCCTTGTCACGAGTTCGAGCCCAGTACCTTTAAAGATCCGCCGTGTAGGGCAGCGATGCACGTTAAATCTGTCGAGAGCTGAAACGTCCTCCCGTTGCTGTGGTGTGGTAGTTAGGAGAGGGGGGAGCCAGCTCAGGTGTCATCCACGTCACTTGACCATGGTTCAAAATTACGTGGTCCGTCGCCAAAAGCCCTGGTGTAGCTAAACAGTGCGACGTTAATATTCAATCAATCAATTTGTTGATGTTTTGTTTCTTATACTACCATATCTCTACAGTGTCAGATCCAAGCCCAAGGAATTTATGACGGCAAGTGGCTAGACGTAAGCCTATCGTTAGCTGTACCTTTGAGCCCCATACAGTTTACAATTTTGCTCGGTTCTACCCTTAATGTGATGGAGAATACGCTAGGGGAGTCAAGGGTCTCCCACCTCTCTTCCCCTTCCACCAACCCCAAGAGAGGACTTGCTGCTCAATAACTATTTAGAGTACCTTCATGCAGCAAAGGCAAACACCCATGCCTTCTCCGGGATTCAAACCTAGGCCTTATGGCACAGCAACAAGCGTCACTAAACACTATATCAGGTGGGCAACTCAATAAATTTTAATTATTACATTAAATTTATACTATTTACTTATTCAGATGTAATACACTCTTTAACCCTTTATCTACAGCGTTATGATTTACTGCCGTTTTTTTCACGCAATATTTTTTTTTAATCACTACATTGAAAATTAAGGGATATACATGAACAAACTACTCAACTTTGGGAAATTTAATCCGTTAGAGCTAATTAATTAATTAAAGATATTCTGCTGTAAAATTAAGTATATACCCTGTTCGCTTAAAATAAAAAGTGAAATCGTTTTCTAAGGTCTTCATGAAGATACAACAGAAAGAAAAAAAAAAAGACTTACCTTTTGACATTAAATATTTTTTCGGAAGAAAAATGATAATATTTGCAATCAGCTGAAAACGCAATTTCTGCTATAAAACGATTCACCTTCCTCGCTGAAATACTCATCATAGAACCCTTGCTGCCATACACCCTGGAAGAATGGGTTTTTAAGAATATTCCTGCTAAGTATCGTCAGAGTATTCGTAAAAATGTTTATTCTATGTAATTTTAAAGTGAGTGATACTTATAAGTACCGTGCGCGTCGGTAGATAAAGGATTAAAATGTATGAGGAAAAGCAATTGTTTAAAATCAAATTAAAAATGCTTATGACCACAAGTCCTCAAAATTCATCAATATTTGCAAACTACATTTTAAGCAAAATAAGTGATACTCTTCTTTATTGATGTTTGCTTGTATATGTAAGCGATGCTAGTGCCTTTTCGTTCTACCACAACCACAGAGGTAGTTTTACAGTTCAATACTTGCACAAACGTGTCTCTGGTAGATTGTCAGTACAATGACGTTTTACCGACGGATTGTATTTTGCCACATATTAGTGAACGCGCTCAAAATGCTTAAGATAATTGCCGATCCCGTCCACGATGAATCCGTTTTTTTAGAACGCAAATAATGTCAGCCCAGTTGAAATTCTCGTCAACTTGCACATATTTAAAAGGAAAATGTAATGAGTGTTAAAAAAAGTATTGAGAAAATGGGTTCAAAAATTTAATGATGGGTCTACCAGTACTTATGACAAATCATGGAATGGGCTGTAAGTGATGATTTTATTGAAAAATAATGAGTGAGAATATTCGTGAAAACCGACGATTTACAATAAGATTGATTTTGTAAAGAGTTTCCATAAATTTCAAAAACATTTCCGTGGTGCCAACTTTCTTTAAAATGGGTATATACAAGTTGGTTTCCCGATATGAAAAATGCCTAAACAATGGTAGTAAATATATACGAAAATAGTTTTTGACATGCTCTATCATAAAAAATAAATTTTGTATTGAAAAAAAATATATATATTTCTTTGCGTGTTTTTTCAAAACGGTACTTAATTTACGGACACACCTCTTTTAATCTATCAGGCATTCTTTAACTTCTGTTCCAGTTCAGTCGCAATTTAGGATTCCTGTATCTACAGACCCAAGGTTGCCTCATAACAATTTTGTTTTGAGAAATGTCTAGTAGCCCTCCTTGTCTCTGAAATGCGTCGACAACAGAGGGACAACCTAAGCGTATGAAATCCATATGGAACCTGAACCTATCTAGTTAGTTAGTGATACGAGATAATGTGAAAAAAATACTCATTCATATTATGATATCCATATGTTTCTGAGCTATTGAAAATATGTACAAGATGACTGGAGGTGAACAAATGACGTAATAAATAACCACATTCCGCACAATCACATCATACACAATCCTAAAAACAAATAATTTTACTTTTTCGATTCTATCAAATCTCAGCAAATAACTAAAGTTTTTTGTTAATTGAGTCATTAATTTGACTATTTTTTTAAAAAAGTATTTGCTTCATTGAAGGAAAGATGTTTTTCGTTTTATTTTATCCTGCAAAACCACTATTTTTATAATTACTTACGAAGTATACTTGTCACAAACTGCATTAATTTGTAAATGTCTAAAGAAAGCTATTTCCTGGCTCATGATTTGTGCTTTACGACTTTGGCTGGCACACGCGTCAGCTGATTTCCGAATTTTCAAGACGTAAATACCAAGAATAACCTTATTTTGAGCTGCAAGAAATTTATTCCTCGTGATGTACAATTGACTAAAATTGGGGACCATATGCCAACCGTACAAAAAGTATATAAATGTTGCCAGTTGCGCTCTAACAAAGTATATGAGATGAAAACAAGATACGTTTGTCGTGTTTGTTCCCAATATGTGTTGATTGCTGTTTAGATTAAATTTCAAATAAATATATTTATCAATTCTTAAATGCGTGAGGGAAGAATATATTTAAGTCCATCTGTAGAATTCGGTACTTCCAAATTTTATTTTATAAATATTGTATTATGCGATGTAAAAAGAAGTTCCAAACATAAGAGTTTTGCTTTTGCACAGCTTCCAGTGGGTGATGGAAA